TGTTTACATTATTTCAAAATTATTTTTTATCTTGAAATTTATATAAATTTGGACGGTAACTGTTACCTCGAGAGTGAAAAGCATCTGGCGTTTGTAATTCAATAACTAAGATAAAAAAGACAAGCCTAAGGTTGTAAGAGGCAGTGGATCATTGCCGTACTTCTTTAAACGTTATCATCTTTCTTCTATTCAGAAACACCAGATTTTTTAAAAGAAATCTAAAAATTGGCTTTATTTTTCAACACCCTCTCTTTTTCTTAATAAAGTTTTTAGCAAGAAGCTAAAGTTATTGACTTTGTTTAGAATCAAGTTCTCACCTTTGACCTATTTTGGAAAGCATAACGATATGTTCGGAAGAATTTCCAATTCTGTCCTCAAAACCGGCGAATTTATCGTAACAGATACTGCAGCTGAGCGGCTATATTACAGATCACCAGGACTTGTAACAAGAAATGAAACAGCGTTAGTCAGCTCTGTTCTTCTGTTCTATACATTTCGGCAATTGCTTCTGCATAAACTTCAAGAAAAACAGTTTTAGTGATCAACCACAAAATATGCGATCATTGATTCGTTTTGAAGTCAGATTTCAGCGATCAATTGCGTACTATTTTTGGTCAATTGCACTTCCATTCTTCTGTGTAGCAGCGTAAATTTTTATAAGAAAAACTTTATTTTTTCATTCATCTATGGTGTTTAAGAATAAAGATCGTTCATACATACTGTTGAACGTTTAACAGAGGTAAAAAAAAACTGAGTAATTAGGCAGCAACAAATTGTTTTCCTGCAGTAAACAATTTTTTGAAGTGTCACATATTTGGCTGGAACAGTGGCGGATGTCAAACTGTCGCTTATTTGGCTTATGCTTTGCACATTGATACAAGTAGTCAACTACTCTCAAATGACGGCAAAGTTACCTCCAGACTCTTCTAGAATTCCACTATGTGGTAAGACCTATTTTACTACCAAAAAGTGAGGAAGTGCTATCAAAAAAATTTTTTGTCTATTTGTTTTCTTTCTGCTTTATTCATTTTTTTTTTTTACCTGCAAGTAACTTGAAAAACTGATGTCTGCCACTTTTAAGCTCGATTAGCCGAAATTGTGCTTATTGAAACATTCTTCCTCTTCTTCTATCGGATGTTTGTCACCTATTGGAAACATCGATACATTTTTAAACCTTCCAATTTGAAATATTTTCTTTGGTCGGACAGATTGATTTGTATTCTTTCTGTGTTTTCGTGTTTGTTAAATGGATGGCTGCTGTTTTTTTAAAATCCTAATTTATACGGTGGCATTGTTTCTGTACAAAATTTGGTGTTTCTGGCAAAAATTAGTGTACTTCTCAATGTGAATAACTTTGCTCATAAGCTATGCATAATAGCAAAGAAAAAAATGTTGTAAAAATATTAATGCATAAAAAAGTTTAAGAAAATATACTTAATTTTTTTTTGTTTATACATTTTAATCAGTCGTATGAGCGAGAGATGAGACAAGTATTGTTCTTGGGTAACAAAATGTAATTAGTCAATACAAAAGTACAATAAAATAGTATGCGGACTACCCTAAATACAACATTAACAATGGCTAATGTTTTTTAGAGACATTATAGCCTACATAGTATCAGCCATTAGAGCTTCGTTTAGTTTTTTTAAAGAACTATTTTCTACTGATGTGCAGTCTGAATGGCATACTGTTGTTATCAGTGTGGTAGCAAACAAAAACTGAATGATCTGCAGAAGATTACAATTTTACTGAATAGGTTTAGAGAAAGTAGTCTGCAAATTTCATAAAATTTCTTCTTGTGATATTACTGCAAAAAACAATTTTTTTGAACAAAAAGCAGGATTGAGGATATCAGTTGAAATAACAAAAAGATTGTTCTTGTGATATAAATGTTCAGCATAAAACTGCAAAACTAAGAGCATGTTTAAAAGTTTGAAAATAATTCCTTTGGTTGGTTCATATTGTTTTCGCTACAGTGAAAACCATCCTAAATGTTTACATCAGCAAATCGTTTTTGAGTAAATGGAATTTGATATAAAAGATGAGTGAAAATTGACTGGAACAATCTAACGTAGTTTAAACAAAACTCTTTATTGTATTGCTATCTTCAGTCTGTTGTGTCACGCTTAAATTTATACAAAATGCCTTCTTTTTCCTTTTTTTAGCTTTTGCTTTAGTATTTGATAGGTTATACTTTTGAAGCAAATAGGAGTTATTAAATGCAAATAAAATCAAAATTTTTTCGCTAATAGACGAAACAAAAGCAGTCGTTGTACTGATTTAGTCTACCGTCTAATTATGCAAATGATAAGCATCAAAAGAATCATTCATTTGTGCTACTAATTGTTTATTAGTAATATTTTCTAAATTATAATGCATTAATATTTGTACAGTGCGTTGTGCTCTGTTCTGTTACTCAAAACCGACGTATGTAAATTTTGTTTAATTCAAAGATTTTAAATTAAAACCAATTTTATGTGTTATTGTTTACAAAATTTTAATTGCAATTTTTGCTGTAGTTGTCCTAAAATTACATTAGAGACTCTGAAATAGTTTTATTGTAGAGTGAGCACAAAAGAAAATTCTGGTTCATCTTTGCTCCTGCTTGGCAGGTTTTTAAGCTTGAATTACCGGTAAAGTCTTGAAGTTAGCTGATGAAACAGAAATGAATACTTCGGAAGCGATAGCAGTGATGTCACTGCTGTTTTTCGATTATGATGAAAAGAGAATTTATCAGGACATACAGGTAAATAAAAGAAGTTTATTAAGTTAAAAAAATTTAACTTTTGCTTACTAAACGACGTCGTTTTTTTTATTTTTTAAGAATCGCAGCGTGCATGAAACAAAAATTCTCAGTCAACTTTTCCAAAGAGATAGGTACGATAGTCGAAATCCAACAAATGCAGATATGCCTAATGATTTGTCAACAACAGCACCAGTTCTACCGCTCAGTTTAGACTTAAGACTTCTGATCAACCACATTGAAGAAATTGTATGTTTCTTGTGAAATTCGCATTAAAAATGACAATTCAAAAACGTTATTCTTTACTGAAAATGTAATTTTTTTAAGTCACCATTTAAAGCGGTCAAAAATTCTATGAGTAACTTGAAAAAAGATTTCCCATCTGAACGTAAACCTCTTCTCTCTTTGATATCTACAGTTGTTAAACATTTTACAGGATTTATCAGCAGAAATTGTCCATCTTAGTTTCACGGTAGCTGCAGTTAAGTTATTTGATCGTCAATGATGTTTTTTTAAAGCGTTGTAAGGTTAAATGAATTATTCTTGCCTTTACTGGTGTGCCACTGCAATGTTTTTCTTTTTTTCTTTAAAAATTTTAAATTATCAGCTAAAAAAACCGAAAACTTTTAATCAAATACTTTCGAAAAAAATCATGAAGCTACACTTTCTGTAGTTGTCACTAAAAAATAAAATTCCCACTGCAGACTTGGAATGATTCTCGGATTTATTGGGATGAAAGAGACTATGGTAATATTACAACCATCTCACGGCTATATTATGAACTGCAGCGTATATGGTTGCCAAAAATTCATATCTTTCAACTGTAAGCCTCATTTCAAAATCCAAATATGTTTCAAGTATAGTATATGCTTCAAGAAACATTTACGAAGTATCCTCTTGTACACATTATAAATATACTGGGTTCCGTATAAAAGTTCTATTTTAGAACTGCATTGCAAGTCAAAAGATTAAGAATGTGACCTTTTAATGCTCAAAATTAGGTGTTAAAATTTTTGACTGTCACTTTTGTTTGAAATCAGTATCTGAGTTTTTTTCAACTAGTGATAAGCAACATTTTCGCTTTTTTTCTCTTTTTTTTCTGTATTCTTTGAAATAATCAGTTGCTTTCAGCACCAGAAAGCAGTCGTCGTTATTGGATGATACACTCACAACTATAACTTTAAACAACAAAAACGAAGTTCATGCAAGGGTAAAAATTATTAATTTAATTCTGCAAAAAAAAAAAAACCGAAGATTTTTGGAGCAGTAAAAAAATAATTTTTTATATTACTGGTATTTAAAATTTCAATCTACTGCTTCACTAATTAAGCAATAAACTGCAGCAATGTTAACTGAATTAGCCCAGATTTTGAATAATGTATAAATCAAATAAACGAGGAGGAAAAATGTAGTCTTTTCTAGTCTTTTCTAGGTAACTTCTGACAATTAAGATGAACATTTGTAACTTGAAGTTTAGAACAGCAGAAGTATTTAAACCAAAAATGCTATGATTCATACTAATTACATTTCAGGAAATTTTAACTGATCTAATCGTTGTTTTCTTTTTGTCTTTTTTTCCTTGTTTTCAGCATCAGGTATCAAATCATGTATGTCAGTTCCTAATACGACTTGAACTGGTTATCAGCAATATTTTCAGCACTAGCGTACTAGGTATTAAGACTGGGTCAAATTTTATTTGCTGCATTCAGAATTCTATGTTAATTTATCTGATAGAACCTTCTACTCATCAAAAAATCAGTACGCACATCGCTTTTTTTCCTTGACATTTTGCTCTCTGTATTTGTTGATGCGTTCTGTTTGGTGGTCGTATATTTTCTGCGAAAAGGCCAGTTAGAAGGCTGTGAGGAAGTTCCAGTAACTGCCTGTTCTGACCTGTTATTTTCTTCAAGTTTGCTGCTTTTGTCTTACGCATTGCTGACGTTGACCTATGACCCTCCTTGTCAATACCGTTGACTGTCATGTCATTATAATGGAGTGTACACAGTATTGTAGTTTAAAGGAAAGTACACTGACCAAAGTATCAAGGCAGTTTATGTACAAATGAGCCATTTTTAGACACCAACCCGATGACGGGGG